ATTTATCAGCCTAACATGTATTTTTAAACATTAAAATATTTTTTTTTGTTGTAGAATAAAAATTTAATTCAGATATAATATTGTATTATTTCTTTTAAAAAATCTGTACAAAATGATGTATTTAAAAGTGAAAAGACCTAGACATCTGCAACCAAGTTTTCAAATTGCTGTATTTTTGGTCACCTATGTACTAGTAATCTTGTATAAAAATGGCCGCCCCTTTGTTAAACAGGTCGGACGTCTCTCTTGCTCCGTATACCTATTATAAGTATGTGGGTTTAAGTATAATTTATAACCACCGTAACGTAACTTAACTTAACGCCGTAGAAACTTAACCTAAGATATAAAAATAAAGTCTATTTATAAATGTCCGTAACGTAAGAGTTGAGCATGCGTGTTGATTTCAGAGATTATCAAATTATTGACAACCTTATGAAATAAACAAGTGTAAACTATGTACTTAACCTCTAAATAAAACTTATAAATTATGATTTTGCTATATAGAAAGAATATATTTACTTTAAAAGCAATAATATAAAAATATAATAAAACAAAATAGTTTACCGAAGGTTGATTGTTTCTGAGCAATAATGAGAATTTAATCTTTCCTAGCAAAAAAGTTTTGTCTTATTTCAGTTCTAGACTTGATGTTTATAGGTATATGCAGCTACACTCATATCTCATAGATAGTTTATCCCCAATAACATAAACACAAATCATTCATGATAATGTATGTCCATCAAAAAGGAGAATGATAGTTTACAAATGGTATTTTTCTATTTATTTATAAAAAAAAATAAAAAGAGAATAATTGACAGTTATCACATGCTGAACGCAGAATTATCTCATTGGCTAACCGTAAGTCCTTAAGTTAAGTTATGTTGTTAAGTTAAAAGTTGGTGAACTTTCTACGGTACGTTAAGTTCTTAAGTTACGTTACGAACATTATAAATAAGTATACGTAAATTCAATATTTCAACTTCTTACGTTAAGTTCTTAAGTTACGTTACGGCGGTTATAAATTAAGCTTTAGTGCGATTAGTGACAGTTTAACCCCAGTATAAAGAACAATACAGTAGCGACAGATTGCGTCGGCTTCTTTGATGTCGGGGTGGTCAGATTTTCAATGACAGTTGACGTTTTTGTCGCTTATTTCTACACGGAGAAAAGTAAACTCTAAAATTGCAAATTAGCGATGTACACTTAGAAAAAAATTAAAACATGTACATATAACATTTTAATGTATTCTAGGCAAATAAATTAATCAAAATATTGTGTAACTTAAATAAATGAGTTCCGGTGAAAATCTAGATGTGCCAATTTTAAAATTTTATCATTAGATTAAAATAAATTACTTTTGTATGCCATTCATTGTATGAAATGTGTTAAACATTTTTTGGTTTCTTCCTGGAACTAATAAATTAACTCTGCACCTTATTTTTTTATTTAAAATGAGGTTATGTAGGTATCTTTTTACAAGTGAAACAACATATAACAATAATATTTATTAAAACACACAATTACAAATTAGTAAGTTTTTAATGAATTTACAATACAAGAATTATTTTATTTCAATTTTTGTTCCTACGTACAAATTTTTGACTTCAGATGAGTTTTAGCAAATGCCTGTTGTAAGTCACCCGTTAAGCACAATGCTGCCCAATTGCTTATATTACCTATGTATATAATTAAATACTATTAACGTCACATCATAAAAATTAGATGTTTATATTTAACGATTTTATGGTTTAAAATTTGTATGGGAAAGGTTATCTGCTGCGGGATTTAAATATTTAATGGCTAGAAGAATCAACAGTGACTGTCTAGAAAAATTTGTTGTGTCCATTAGGCAACAGGGTGGGAATTTAATTAATCCAACACCTGTACAATTCGAAAGGGCATTTAAAAAACTTTTTTGTCAAAATTATCTTCATTGCAATTCCATGAATTGTAATGAAGACCTGGACAAACACTTGCTACAATTAGATGTAAAAAATATTGTCTCTCTGTATCCTGAAATAAATAAAAACACTCGAGAAGCTGTGTTTCTTCCTAATTACAGCTACAGGACAGAAGATATAATAGTTCAAAATCCATTTAAATATGTTTGTGGCTATTTGATCAAGAAAGCTTTAGGCATACATGGATGTAATACATTTATTAAATTTTCAAAAGAATGTGAAGATTTGGATAGTTCACAGATTTTAACATATGATTGCAAATAAAGCACTTATGGAGGCCTAAAAACTCCAAATGAAAAGTTTATTATCTATATATTTAAATTATAAAAAAATGTTATATCTATTTTTAGCAATACCTGTGTAATGTCTGGTATATCGCATAGATTTTTTTGATATTATGAAAGAAATAGAATTTAATCATCCTTGTCCTAATTTCCCTAACGTATATATATCATACAACTATTTATAAGTTTATATATATTATTGTTTAAGTGCTTAAATATTGTATAAATGAAACAAATCAAAAATTAAAAAACAGTTAAAATAATAACACCACAAAATACATTTTTTTGTTTTCTTTTTGCTACTTTACAAGAAATACATATATATTTTGATTAGATGTAGTCAATCAGAACATTTTTAATCAATGGACATAGTGAATCAAAGAACATCTAATTCATTATAATAATTTGGAGGTAGGATTTTTGATTAAGAATGTCCAAAGGTTGCACATGGTACGCTTTCAAAAATGTCTCGTTCATGTTCAATGATAGTCTCAACAGAGGAAGCACTTGGTCGATGTACTAGGGAGAAGATAGACATTTGGCTGATGACCTAGATGGATAAAAAATGTGGGAACAGCAGTAGGCAATAAACGTTTACGGTTCAACGTTTTAGAAAAACAATTCTTCTCAAAATGTTTCTCACACAACCTGTAATTCCGATGAAGACTGTTCACATCTATGTTACTCAAATCTTCCCTATTACAAGCTCTTAACCACATGTTGGCCCTAAAATATAAAAAAGTTGATAACAAATGTTTAGATTGAGGGTAGTTCAGAAATTATATATTTTTTACATTATTTTTGTTGAAATTGTAAAAATTGTCCTCCAGACATTTAAATAATAAATATTTGGTTGTCAAATATAAAAATTGAAAGTATTTTCTTAAGACATACCTTTCTGGCTCCATGGGAAATGCAAAATAACTTGTCCCTTTGTCTGTTTACTCTGTTTGAGATGGACAAGGGCGATAGACACATCTCTTTCTTTTCTGATCAGGTGCAGAAGCCATTTCAAAAATATCACACAATAAATGAAAAACTAAAATAATAAAAATGTCTCAAAATATGCACTGGGTACAAAAATAATGACATATTTACATTATTTACATTTACATCGCATTGACACTATTGACGTTGACGTTTTTGTCGCTTATTTTCGGACATGCGCAGAAAAATATGGACCCCTCATAAAAAATGATCTGTCGCTACTGTATTGGTATATATACTGGGGTTTAACACGCTTAAGGGCCCTATTCAGTAATTTATCGTTTATGGACGACATCGTTAAGCTAACGACAGTTCAACCAACGACTTTTATAACGATAATTTTTGAAACTCTATTCAATAACAAAGTCGTTACGTTGTTTCTAGTTACCAAATCTGAACGATGATTTCTAGTAAGTTGGTATTATAATTTAGTGTTTTGTGATAAAAGAACGTATGTTGATGATTATAGCGGGCGTTTAAATTAAAGTTTTACAGTTAAATATCGCCAAAAATATGCATTTTATAAAAAAAAGCATCAGACAAAAGTTTTATAGTTTTTTAGGGGAAACATTTTGGCTAAATTATTTTTTTTATAGCTGACCATAATATGGCCATATCGAGGTGGATTTTTTTTCAAATTGGAACCCTATTTTTTTACATAGGTATTCTTAGAGTTCATAAAAAAAAACAAGAAACTTCTAAAGGAAACATTTTTTTATTGGATTTCTACTTATTGAGTAACATCTACTTGAAAATTTTGCTGCGCGAAAAAAAGTTGGCCATATTATATGGTTTGCTATAAAAAAACAATTTTAGCTAAAATGTTTTACCCAAAAAATTATTAAACTTTAATTTTTTTATAAAAGGCGGTATTTAACTGTAACCCTTTAATTTGAACACCCGGTATATTTGACATTTTTTTTGAACGTAAAATAAAAATTCTACCACACGATCAGGGGGTCGATTCTCGATTCGTAGGAATTCTGTTTCTCGCGGGCCATTTTTGCTGGTCATATTGTATTGTATTTAAATGAGTATGGATATATTAAAAAAAACAAAAAACAACTCGAGAACAGTACAAGTTGTATTTATTGGATTTGAAAAACAAACCAAATTTGTGTAGGTTACGGAGAAGTATTATAGGTACTTCCATAATATAGGTTGTGTTACAGTTTCGCAGTGCTACTTTAGGAACATCACTGTTAATAAGAATCCAATAGTAAATGATTGAATGGGCAATCCTAACTTTGAATCAGATTTATTTTTAAAATTAAATAAATTAGAAAAAAATTCCTTACAAATTTTACTTGCTGTATTAGGTATATGGCAATTTAGTTGTAAAATTTGTAAAAAAGTGTTTTTATTATTTAGAACATATCCTGATTCACAATAAAAAATGAGAGGGAATGCAAAAATCACTATATAACGACACTTCATATTATTAACGACAGCTCTTTGGCTATCGTTGATGAACGACAATTTTACAACCATGTTTGTCTATTTTCAACGACAATCGTTGTCTACTGAATAAGAAAAGTCGTCTGTGAACGATTATCGTCTATTAACGACGTCGTTCAGAGTTACTGAATAGGCCCCTAAATGTCATTTAAAAGCACCCTAAAAAACTCCGCTTTTGTCCCGCTCTAGCCCCTGATTATCCGAACTCGCCTTAAAATTGTCATTAATGTCATTCTCAATTTTGACAACTGACAACTTACCACGTGTTTGCGACTGCTGACGGCTGTTTTGTTTTTAGGAATATTTAAAAATGGTAAACTCAACTTTTTTAAAATATGTTGGATTTAACTAATTAACTCAATTTTCTAGGATATTTTAAATCGGCCAGCAGAAGAATTCGATAATGATCAATCTGTTGAGACTATGTGGGCCATCAAAGCCTTTGAGCATGCAGAAGTTTATTTCAATGTATGAATTATTTACAGTACTATTCTTTTTTTTTTGTCGGACTACTTGAAAATCAGTTTTTAACCCTTTACCAGCACTGTACCATTTGCTTGATATTTATTGTAATCAAATATACTCTTTTATTTCAAATAATTGAAGATTAATATAAAAACAGTAATTTTCAAAATTATTAAATTAATTAAAATTATAGTGAATATAGTGTTGCATTTGTACATTAACACTGGCGAGTTTTTAATATTATTTTTGGACCGCATGTGACAGGCATAGTTTTTTACTAGTTGAAGTAACATTCGGGAAAAATTGCACAATTTTTTCCTGATACACAGTATGTGAATGTCTGCCTGATAGTTTTGTATATCAAAACCAACTACAATCTATGTTTTCTATAATCAATGAAAAATATGAGCACTATTTTAAGTTAGGTAACAGAACATAAGCCCTAAAGTAAGACTTATAAAGTATATAAAAAAATATTTGTGCTATTGTTATCAATCATTTGAAAATTAAGGGCTTATTAGGTGCATGTTAAAGATGTTGATATAACATTGACATAAACACATCGATGGCTCAATCAAAAACCGCCACAAGTCAAAAAACAAAAAAATGACATTTTTGGTCCAATGGATTCAAAATATCATTAAGGCTTTACTTTAAATACCGCCACAAATAAAAATATCCTTAAATATGCCCAAAAATCATTTAAAATCTAGTTACAGACTGTGTCTAAAACTACCTCAATTCGAGTTATTTTCTGCAAAAACACCAAAATTTTATAAAAACTATGCAATAACCCGCTTTTATAATTGTAATCGTAAATTTTAACAGCAAAATATCAAAGATTTTAAATAAAATATAAAGATTTTATGTCAAAAACAAAATAATGATAATAGAGACTTACAAATTTCAAAATGAAATTTCTCGAAACAATAGTTTTTGAGTTGTGGCAGTATTTGATTGAGCCATCGACATGCCTGTATGTCTAATCTAGGGTTAATTTTCTTAAATTCCAAAATTGGGTGTATGCTTTTGAATCATGTCGATAATAGTCTCCTGCTTTTATGTATTAAACAATTGATTTTTTAACATATATCCCCCCTTTCAATTAACACTCACTTAGGAGGGTAAAATGTAAGATATTTACTTTGGAACCATATCAATTCTAATATTAAATTTCTTAATTCTTTAATTTGTTTTATATTGCTAAAGCCATCTTTATATAAAAATCAATGACCTGTGACCTATCTCAAAAATATTTGATTATCAATAACTCCATAATATGAACAAGAACATGAATACAACTAAACAAAATACATTTTAATATGACTAAATGTATTTTAATAAGAAAAAATTGTATGCTCGAAAAGATTGTCATAGAATAATGATGTAAATAAATTGAGTTACTTATTTTTTTGTAATGGTTGAGAATATTGTATTGTTGTTCCTTGGAAGGACACAACTTTAACAACAGTGTTATGGTAAAAACAACAAATAACATCAGGTTTACATCTTCATTCCACTTCAAAATATACAGAAATATATCTCCTAGACAAATGTTATTTTGACTGTTGGATTTGTCTTCTTCTGTACATTATCATAGTGTAACAGTTGAACAAATACTATCACATTTTATTACATATTATTTAATGTCCTGTTGAGCCTATAGCCCTGAAGTAGTTATTTTGTTTGGCAGCCCTACAACCCTCGACTAAAAATCAGGAGAGGAGGTTAGGTGCCAATATAACCCTGTATTTCATTCACAAAGACATCTGTATATTATATATATCCTTGTTCGTTGGGATGCTAATATTACATTCTCTTGAATTTACAATTATAAATCATTTAAAAAAATTTAGTAGATACTTTTTTTTAGATATTATGTTCAGTAGACCCGAAACTTCTTAAACTCACTCCAGTAGATGATATTATTTATAGAATATTTAGAGAAGAATTTCCAAAACTAGATGTAGAAGTGATTAAGGAAGATGAACTAAAAAGTACAAAAGAAAAAGCGAAGTGGAGACCTTTTTGTGAACGATTTAAAACTCTAGTTGAAGATTACAGTTTTGGTACACTTTTACGATCTGATGCCAAGGATGACTATAAGGAAGACAATACAATGTTAGTCACTAGGATACAGTTTTATGCCATAGAACTAGCTAGAAATAAAGAGGGAGTAAATGATATTTTGAGGAAGAAATTTAAGCCTAAAAGTGATTCTGAAAAAGATGATTAATTTTTAATTTAGGTATGCATCTCAATTTTTTTAAATGATATATAGGATGACTGAAGGAAAACTTTTCAATTAAAAATAGGTTAAACATTTTTTAAAATAGGATATGTATTTTTTTTTTTCTTTGAAATAAATATATAAAAAATTATTTAACTCTTATTAACCTATAACAACAATCACAATATATTACAAAATAAAGATTATTTCACATTAAAATCTCAGTAGTTCAATAATATATCCTGTTCGCATTTTTTTTAAATCTGACTACTGAAAATTTGATACATTTTACTGTAGGTGAGTTCGGGCTACGCACTCTATTCACTACTAATAAAGTACCTAAGGCGTTCAGGATCGGAAGGAGTTAAAATAAAAGTTAATTTTTGACCGTTCTAAGATCACGGAGTGGAGTATGGTTCGGGCAGGCTCCTAAGATGATTTAAATCAATAATAAGATAATTGTGACTGATTCTTTAGTAAAAATCTTTTTTTTTTGTTTTCGTGAATATCATTAATGTAAGGTTGTTATAAGGTACGAGTTGATTTTAAGTACTGGTATGTCACATTGACAACTGACATTGCACTCCGAGGGTAAAGTGAATAAAATCATATAAGCACTCTGTTTACGCCTAATTACTCCACTCTGGAGTTTGCAGCCCGAACTCACCTCATGAGATTTGTAATGTCATCATTTAATGTTGCATGCCATCACAATTATTGTTGATATAAATAAAACTTGGAGCCAGGAAAATTGATCTAGGAAGGATTTCTGCTAAAACGTGAGGCATTTGGTTCAATTTAAATAAAAAAATGATAACTCTTATCAGAATATAAATCACGTTCTAAAATAGATTTCATTTATTAGGTAATAAATATTTTGTTATTGTATTAGGCCTATGCTCAAAATTGTAAATAATGTGTTAAATTTATAAATAAAAAAATATATATTTTATTAAATTAAACATTTGAACAAAAAATATATTTACATGTTCATGGCAATCAAAGGGAATGATTTAGAATGTATGAAAAATAAAATGACTAATAAATATCAGTGTATTAAAATAAAAAATAATTTTGGCATTTTTACTCCATTAATGTTTCTTTCAATAATACATATAATCAAAAATATGAATTATAGAATATTTAGGGTTGCCACCTGTTCATTTCTCAAAACCTGGACATTATCGATACATATTAGGGTTGTCAGATTTATGAAGGGGAAAAGCGGACAACGATGAAAACATAGGATCAGGTTAAAAACCAAGTAATTTTATAAGATCAGGTCATCAGCTTATACTTTTATGAACCAGGGCCTCCTGCAGAGCTTCTGAAAAAACGGCCTCGGCTTATAATTTTATAAACCAGGTGCTTCTGAGCTTCTAAAAAAAGGTCCTGGGTCTGTATTGTTAATAATAAATAAACCAAATCCTTCTGACGAGGTTCTAAAAAAAGATTATCCAGATATTCCAGGGCATTTTCATCGTGCGACTGGACACTGGACAAATTGTTAAAAACCCAAACAGTCCTGGTGAAAACCATACAGGTGGCACCCCTAATAATATTGGAAACAATGATAAAACAGGATAAATTATTTAACTACATAATTTTTATGACTAAATCATATAAACATTTTTATATAACAAGAGTCTTTAAGCAGGCAATGTTTCCCTGTTTGAATATTGCCAGGATGTTTCTTGAGGGGCACTAGGTTGGATGCTATGATACTGTCCATTTTTTTTTAAAGTTACAGTCTTTGAAGTTGTAGCATATTTTTTCCTTCTACATGTTAGTATAGTCAATACTACTATACCTATAAATACTTCAAAACATATTAATGATATAAGTATTATACTAGCAACGTAGGGATCTAATAAAAATTTAACACAGATACCGACTGTAACTATTACAAATATTGTTACTCCAGTTATTATCACGAACCAAACGCTGCATCTATCTGAAACAAATAATATTCTTGTTAAATGGGATTTCTCCAGCTTCAATTTATTAACATACAGGGTGTTAAAAAAAAGTGTCACAAAATGAAATGGTGAATAGTATGACCCAAAATAAGCAGAAAAGTCTTAATAAATATATGACCGCAAATTAACGGTTTCGGAGATACGGACCATTTTGTGTTTATAACAATTTTTTATTATTATAAAAAAACAATGATATTTATAAACAATCAATAACAACATAGAGTTAAATGAGATGTTCAAAGTGCCCTCCCTCCATTTCAATGCAGCTACGACATCTCCTCCGAAAGGACTGTCGGACTCTTTCCAAAACACCCTCATTGGCTAGGATTCGATGACATCCCTGCTCTATTCGTTGCTGCAGCTCTTCGAGGTTATTCACAGGAGTGGCGTACACTAAATTTTTTAAGTGTTCCCAAAGAAAAAAGTCAAGCGGATTTAAATCAGGCGATCTTGCAGGCCATGGCACAGGTCCGCCCCTTCCTATCCATCTTCGACCAAAGGATCCGTCTAAATGTTCTCTTACGGCAACTGAAAAATGCGCCGGAGCACCATCGTGCTGGAACCACATTTGATTTCTTTGTATTAAAGGAATGTCATCTAAAAGATCACCCAATGTGTTCTGCAAAAAGTTTAAGTAGTCAGCTCCCGTTAATCGGTTAGGTAGTACAATCGGACCTAGTAACCAGTCGCCATAAATACCCATCCAAATGTTTAATGAAAAACGAACTTAATGCCTGGATTCCACGATACTATGGGGATTTTCGTCGGCCCACATATGCAAATTATGGAAATTAAACACTCCATTTCGTGTAAACCCTGCCTCATCAGTAAAAAGAATTAGTGCAATAAAATTGGGATCCTCAGCATCATTTCTCAGAAACCATCGACAAAATTCCAAACGTGCTTGATAATCAGGTGCATTCAGAGCTTGCACTCGTACGGGTACGGGTAAAGCTGCTGCTCGTGGAGGATTCTCCAAACCAGAGGAGCCCCAATTCCTACCTCCGCTGATATTCTTCGCACACTAGTTTCTGGATTCTCTTCTACTCGTGCTAAAATTGCTTCTTCTGCCTCAGGGGTGGACACCGACCTTGGTCTCCCGGAATCATGTGACTGTTTCCCAAATTTACCTGTATCACGCAATCTTTGGTGCAATCTTCCAAACACACGAACTGAAGGGATGTGGCGATTAGGGAAAGCGTCGATATACTGACGTAGCGCTTCCCTCGCATTGCCATTTGCACGACCGTACATAAAATGCATGTCAGCTAATTCAATATTAGTGTAAACAGGCATAACGAAAATTTATAAAATTATTCACCCACAACAAAATAATAACTGCAAATAGTATCTATGAAAAAACATCGGTAGACTCCGATAAGAAAAGCAAGTTTTTGAGAATGAAAAAAGATAATCAAAAAATGATACAAAACACAAAACACTCCGTATCTCTGAAACCATTCATTTGCGGACATATGTTTATTAAGACTTTTCTGCATATTTTGGCCCGTTTTATTTTGTGACACTTTTTTTTTAACATCCTGTATATTAAATAGGTATCTTAATTTTTTAAATGTAAATATTTTGGTTTATTAATCCGTCCGCAAGCGCAATATAACATAAATTGTAATAAATAAATTAGAATTGTGAGTTAGTGTCTAAGGACCGATTCCACCGTTGTGTTAAACGAAGTTTAAAATGACATTTTTACATTAACAATGTCATTTTAATCTCCGTTTAACACAACGGTGGAATCAGCCCTAAGTATTATATAAATTAAATAGTAAGTCATAAATAAATTGTAAATAGTGTGTTTTAAATAAATAAACTATAAATAAATTAGACTATCGTCACATTGGTGTTAGAAGTGGAACTATAAATAAATAGTGGACAATAATGACTAAAAGACTGTGTGATTTAAAAGTGTCTGAGCTGCGTCGCGAACTAGAAAATCGTGATCTGGAGACGACAGCGAAGCAAGCAGAGCTGGCAGAACGTCTTAAAAAGCACTAGAAAATGAAGGTTTCGATCCGGAAACGTTTCTATTTTCGGAGGATGCGTGTTCTAAAATTTCTTCAATTTCCGATATAAAAAACGATATGTCTTCTATGAAAACCGATATTTCTTCTAACATTTCCTCATTAGAAACTAAAGTTTCTTCAGACATTTCCTCCTTAGAAAATAAAGTTTCTTCTGACATTTCTTCTTTGGAAAATAAAGTTTCTTCTGACATTTCTTCTTTGGAAAATAAATTTTCTTCAGGCAGTTCTTCCTTAAAATAAAAGGTTTCTTCTGATGTTGCTTCCGTGAAAAACGAAATCTCTTCTTTAGAAACTAAAGTTTCTTCTGATAGCTCAACAAAATGTCTTCTCTGAAAAATGAAATTACTGCTGATGTGGAAAATAAGATGACTTCTGTTGAGGAGAAAATAATGTCTCCCGTTGAAGAGAATATATAAGAGATGGAAAAGAAGATAGAAGAACTGGAACATTCAGAACCTGTCAAAGACAGTGAAATAAAGTGCCATGAAATGGAGTCGAAGTTAAAATTGGAAGAAGCTGTAAACTCTGCTCGTGTTAAAGCCCCAACCTTTGACGGAAAGATGTCATGGACCAACTACCTTAAACAGTTCGAGACAGCTGCGAGGGCAAACGAATGGTTTGAGAGAGAAAATGCTGTAAATCTGACAATCGTCCTTCAAAGAGACGCTTTAGAACTTTAGATGTTCCTCAGACTATACCTGTGGAAGAGACTGATGATTTTGAACAACTCAAAAAGAGATTGAACATGCGATATCAGTAGATGTAATTGGCCGGTTCTGGAAATGAGAAAGAGGTACAGAGAGAGGTAATTGGGTAATTAGTAATTATCCTAAGTACCCCCCACCCTTCGCGCAATTAGCAAGTACCTCCCAATTACATCATGTACTGTAATAAGTGCAATTGCACAGTAAGTACCACCCAATTACATCATGTACTGTAATAAGTGCAATTGCACAGTAAGTACCTCCCAATTACCATGTACACGCCATACTGTAATGATTGTATTTGCACAATAAGTACCTCCCAATTACCCACAGGGTATACATCTCATTACTTCATACATATTAAAGTGTAAGTACACCTTAGGTAGTAATTACTGTATGCAATGTAGTGTAATGAATGTTATCTAAGTGCCTCCTAGTGATTAATGTTGGTAGCACGTCCTTAACTCTCAGGCGGCGTGCCTAGAGTGCATAGCTTGCGTTAGAGACGGTCGTGCTTAACGGAAATATCGAAGTAAGGGACTAAGAAGGGGTAGCCTGCGCCAGAGATAGACGCGCAATTAGAAAGTACCTCCCAATTACAGCATGTACTGTAATAAGTGCAATTGCACAGTAAGTACCACCCAATTACCATCTACACGCCATACTGTAATGATTGTAATTGCATAATAAGTACCTCCCAATTACCCACAGGGTATACATCTCATTACTCCATACATATTAAAGTGTAAGTACACCTTAGGTAGTAATTACTGTATGCAATGTAGTGAATGTTATCTAAGCGTCTCCTAGTGATTACTGTTGGCAGCACGTCCTTAACTCTCGGCCGTCGTGCCTAGAGTGCTTAGCCTGCGTTAGAGACGGTCGTGCTTAACCGAAATATTGTGGTAAGGGACTAAGAAGGGGTAGCTGCGCCGGAGATAGACGCACCCAACTGAAATATCGAGGGAGGAGCTAAGAAGAGGTGGTGGAATTTTCTAGAGGATATATATAGTAGGACCCGCATCCAAATCCGTACAAATATCGTTAGCTTTAAGCCTATCGGGAGTTCTATCATCTAATATCGAAATAATCATAAAAATAATAAACATGTATAAGTGCAATTGTGGTTTAACATATACAAGGGTAGATAATTTACGTCGACATCAAAATAAAAGTTGCAAGCTGATATCTAACCGCATCGGCGAATCATCCGGAGGTACGAAGAGATCTACTACTCCCAGTAATGATGTTCCACCTGAAAAAAAAGCCCGGGTAATGCGAGTTCCACAAGTTCATACGCATCGCATCGTAGACTCAAAAGCCCATAATAGAAGATGTGAATCATGTAATGTAGATGTCCCTACCAATCAGATGACGTCGCATATGAGGAGTCTTGGGCATAAAGAAAAAGCCTGTGCAATTCATGCTGATGGTATATATTTAATTAAGAGCGCGTTTAAGTGCAGAATCGCAACTTACAGGCTTAAATGTGATGAAAAACATATAGATTATGTAACATTTTTTGATGCGATAAAATTAAGAGTATTGAAATTGTTAAAAGTTGTTCTGAAGGCCCATAATGCCATTAAAGTTAATGTAGAGGCCTTTGCTACTTATGCATTGGAGAGCCAAGATGTTTCTGAAATCAAATCTTTTAACAGCATAAATCGAATACTCGATTTGTCGACGGATTTGGATGCGGTATATGTAGACTTTAAGGACGCTGTGGTATCTCAAACTGCAGACTTTCAACATAAGGATTCAGAGTAGTTTTATAATTCATAGTATAGCGTTTACTAATATATTACTAATTGTTTCAGGTTGGACATTACGGGAAGTACTATTTTTAGAAGTTAATATAAATAAGTACTCCCCATTGGGCGGCTGCTCGTACATTAAGCTCCCTAAGTTTATTGAAACCAAGAAGGGTGTAGTTAATGTCCAAAACAATGATGCGTATTGCTTTGCTTGGGCCATCACGTCGGCGCTATATCCAGCGAGGGACAATGTTCACCTAACGACATCGTATCCACACTTCGAGGCCGTGCTGAATGTTGATGGTATTGAATTCCCTATGAAGCTTAAAGACATTTCAAAATTTGAAGATTTAAATGACATAAGTGTTAATGTTTATGGTTTGGAACGTAGTTATGAAAATGGTAAGGTTAAATTCGAAATAGTAGGCCCATTACGATATTCCTCTAGGAGGTTAGGTCACCATATAAATTT